TGTACAGTGTGAGGGTCATCACTCTGTTTGTTTGGAGAAAAACGACCTGTTGCAACCGTCCCTTGTTGCTACTGTCCCCGGTCTCCCCTAATTTATTCTGCCTTTCTCCCAGGATAGATATAATCTGGTAAAATGTAACCAATCAGTTTAAACTGTTTCTTTTTGAACCAGTTATTTTATAATAAATGATATTTTTAGAACACTGCAGCTCCTCTTCAACGACAGACAGTTTACTTGTTTCAGTTGTTTTTAGCTCCAGGAGCTGATCCAGGTTAAATCAGCTCCTGATCACCTGCTTTAAGTTCTACAGAACTCTGTCACTTTGAACCAGGTGCTGAAGCAGGAAAACACAAATCAGTTTRTTGCCTCCCCTTCAAAATAAAATTACATATCGTTCATCTTTTAACTTTTAATTTGGAATTGATTCATGTTTTCTTCTTTAGTTGCAGATAAATAAAGCTTTAGTTAACATCTGATTTAATGTGTGTTTTTTTTCCAGTGACCCCCCCAAACCTGAAAATGCTGAACTGTGGATAGGGAGTCGCCCCTGTCTCCCTGCGACCCCTCTCCTCATCATTTCCTCACCCTCCTCCCTTCCATCTTCTGCTCTGTGTCTGAATCCATTCTCTCCCATCGCCTCGTCCCCCCACCCCCCGAGACCCTCCCTCCACCTCCTCTTCCCCCCGCAGCACACATGCAGGCCAAGAAGCGGTACCTGCTCGTGTCTGTGGTGGCCGGTCTCCTCTTCCTCATCTACCTGTGGGCTCTGCAAATCGGGGAGTTCCCCCAGCAGCACCAGTATCCACACACTCCCTATCATTACCAGTCTCACCAGCAGAGACAGCAGGACGTGTAYCAGTCCCAACCTCTGCCCCAGAAAGTCCCATCCAGACCGGCCCGACGCTGGCCAGAGTCCACGGAGCTGCTGGAGCCGTATCTGGAGGGAGGAGAGCAGGAGGTAAACTCAACACAACTGTTGAAACTGGCTGACAAAAACACAATTCTTAGACTTTTTTATACTAATAAAACATTTTCAAAGTGTCGCCTTAGAACAATAAAATAAAACTTGGGTGTTTAAAAGCAAGGTTTTACAGAAATGTTACATTTAAAATTTCAAATACAAAAGATTTTCAATCTGGTGTCCAATCCCAGTCCTGCAGGGCAGCGATACTGTTTGTTTTCTACACCAGAGTGGCCCACAGCGCCATCTTGAGGGCCTCAGAAGAACAACAGTTTTTAACTTTGGGCCGCAGAGGGCCGTGGGACCACAATTGATTTTAAATAAGGTGTAATACACTTTCTCACCACTAGTAGCAGTAGTGCACCACTCAGATGTTTAACAACTTTTTAATATGTAGAAGAA